GGCCCGGCCGGCGGTAGCGGCCCTTCGCGCCGGGGGCCTGGGCGCCAGCGGAACCCGTACCTGGCAGGGCAACGCAAAGCCCCGCGAGCCTGGCGCTCGGTACACCCTATCATAAAGTAAGGAGGTCTAATTGAGCTACGGCTCTCTATCCTGCTATTTGTACAAATAAAAGACCACATCTTGATGCAAAATAAACACAAAAGCACTGTTGTGACTATAACAGGGAGTCATATACTAATTTATATAATAAGTGGTTGTGCACGCTTTATTCAAGATTATGGCTGCAAGAAATGGCATGAATTGCTGGGTGTGTTTAATGCTGGATTATAGCAATTTGAAACATGTCAAACACATGGCTAATGCCTCATGCTTCACTCATTCTTGCGTAAACCTGCATAGCCACCATCCATTATACCCTTGGTAACAACACAATTCTGCAAGTAAATATTGTTACACTAAGTAACCTTTCAATTCAAGTTGTTTAGGAAGAGAAAATGCAATCTTGTGCAGTCAGTTCCAGTGTCAGTTTAATGTTTCAAAAGGGAAGTGGTGTAGAGAATAAGTATCTGTACAGTGACTCGCCGGCTTACAACACACTCGTGCACGCACGCACACGCGCACACAGAAAAACGTACAATTCACTGCAGGGGAGAAAAGTAAAACTGTCGCTTCGAACTTCTCAGGACCAGTATTTCTTTTTCTGGTGTGGGTGATTGCCTGTGTACCCTGGTAGAATTAGGCATTCAAGCTGCAGCCCAACCGCACACTAAAATAATCTACGATTTCATTCTCTCTTGCAGAGAGCAGCAAATATTTTCCCCATACCTTTGTTTAAAGTAACTGGTAGCAGCGCTTGTATCTCACCTTTGGCAACAAGAGTTTGGGAATCACAGCAGAAGTAGGTGCTGGTGAACGTATGTGTCTGTGAATGTGGGTGCGTGTGTGTATGTGTGTGCCTTTGTAGGCACGCTCATGACTGACAGTGAGTGTGACAGCAAGAGAAAAAGAGAAGGATTAGGAAGTGTGAATGTGTATAAATGTGTGTAAACAGGGACCTCTGTGTTTTTTCTTGTCCTATTTGAAATACTAAACTTTCAGCCTTAGTATCTGGTAGTCATTGTGTTTTCTTTGTATTTATTTATTCTTATTATGCTAACAACCCGCACTACTGTCCTTACAGCAAGAGCAAAAGCACATTAGTTTGCTTAGTGAGATGTTGCAGGTTCAAATTATTTAAAAACAATAACTGAAATTACTGATACCTCAATATCAGAAATAATCCTCGTTTAGATGTTTTCAGTGCTTTAATTTGTGAGGGTTTAGAGTTGATAGTACATACACACACACGTGTATAGATACACGTGCATATGTGCGTGCGTGTGTGTATGCAAGAGAAAAGACAGGAGAAGAGAAAGATTTTGTGCTCTTGCTTTTTCCAGCAGCCCTTTTACAGTTGCCGGCAGTGAGAAGGGGGCTGTGGACAACCAACACAAAGCATTGCTCAAGCCAAAGTTTCAGTATTGTTTTAAAAAATACCCTTTTACAACTAGAAAAAACATTTTATTTTAAACATAAAATTCTAGGGACTGTTTCTTCTTCTTATAAATACTTCAGTGTTTCTTCCGCTTCGCTTCCAAATAAATTACCCTTTCAGGTATTGATACTCTATAGTTTCTTTCTCTCTGTACAGAGCTGTTGGGTCGGATTTGTTGTTTTCTATTGCCAGAGTAGTGTTACTGGTCATGTTATGTTAAAGCCGATTCTGCTGGCTCAGAGACACTTTAACTTAAAATGCAGAGCCCGAACTACACTCTGGGGCTTTGCAGGGATACAAAATCCACAAGACATAAAACCCTTTGGTTAATGTGAACTGGAAGATGTTTAACCCTTCTCTGCTAATTATAATGAAAGAGTCGGAAAGATGTAAAAACAGGGGGGCTGATGTATTTATTTATTAAATTTCTGAGTGTTTTCTAATGTTTTGATTATCTAACATTTACACCCCTTTGCCCTTTTAATGCGCTTGGCTAAATGTACCACTGTTATTGTCTAACGTTCGAATTTGTAAAAGATGAACCTGTCTGTTGGTTAAATCTTTGTTTGACTAAAAGAGGATTAATGTTTGAATTTCCCGAATTTCCAAATCCTTGTAACGATACAGTTGATGAAGTGTTTTAAATAGATTTCCACTCTGATATACATGTCTTTTTATTGAAAGTAAATATTGTAAAAATCGGAAAGGGCTGCCTGCTCCCACAGTTGTGGCATACCCGCATTAGAATTTTCATATAACTACTAAGGGCAATCAGACCCTTTTCTCTGAATATTTTAAACATTGTACATGTAAAATTTATGCCTAATTTGAATACTTATTAGCTGCCTAATCTCAGAAAAGAGTATTAGCTTTGTTTTTGCCTTGTAAAATTCATCACTGCGTGTATCACATTTTCCATTTCTATTATTTTTCTTCGTTGGTGTTAGTAAGAGTGTTTAAGAAGGGCTGTTTGTTCATAAACACATCTGGTCCTGCTGTTGTTTACTGGGCTATAACAGCTGCCCTCCTTTATGTTAACTGTGTTCGTGTTTGGGTTTTTTGCATCCTGTTTATTTTTGACGAGACCATCTTTAAATAACTCATCTTTTACTATTTTAACTTTTTTCACACGATATATACTTTCACTTTATCTTGTAGGCACTTATTTGTGTTAATTCATACAACGTTTTGATTAATATCCCATGCACGTAGTTGAAGTTGTAATGATCCTTTTCCTGCCTTTTTTTTTTTTTCTTCTTCAGAGAAAGGCTATTGCTCATACTTTGCAAGGGTACAAATAACTAAGTTCAATAATTAGGCTAAGCAGCAAGCTTTGTTTCTTTTCCCAAGTTTGCTTACACATCTCTCTCCCTTCAGAGGTGTCTTTTAAAGTCACAGCTCAGCCAGGTTGTTGTGGGGACTCTTTCAGTACGTCAGGAGTCAGAGTGAAGGCAAGCGAGGTCCATTCTGACCCTGCGAGAGCAGGAGAGCACTTTGGTGGCTCTGAGAAGAGACATTGACCTTTCCATATTACAGATACAAAATGCGCCTTGAAATTCTGGTTTGTAAGGGCACGTTGGTTCTTTATTTACTGCAAAGATTTCAACTGATCTTGGCAGGACATCTCATTGCTATCCTGAAAGTACAGTATATTTATGCAGTGAAAATGATAAAACATTTATTACTGTAGAGAAGGTAATATGCATAATTTATGCTGTTTTTAGCACAATCATTAGTGATATTCTTGATAGATTTTATTTCCAGCTTTCATATCTAATACATGCCTGGAAAATTAATTTTATATCTTTCATTTATTTGCCTATGTTAAAATTGAGTTTTAAGTCATCTTCAAGTGAACAGTTTGATTGCTGCTCATGCATAAGCTTAATTACTTCCCAGGAAGGACAGTATTAAATGTTTTAAATGTCAGAAAAATAAATGAATATCAGCCGTTTGATTAAAAAAATAGGCAATATCTGACGTGTTTGCAGCAGGAGCTTTTTCTTAAAATGCCTCCGAGGCAAAATTTTATTTAGTCACAAAAAAGGAGAAGCCCATTATACTATTTATCATTGGTTGATACCATATGATTTGTAACACCCTTACAAAATTTTAATTTTGTATGATTAGCTGTGCATCATTAAACAACAGCCTTGCATAAGATATGCTGTAAAATTCTGACAGAATCAAGATAGTGAATATTTTAAATAAGGCTGTATAGTCATCCATGGTTGTCAAAGCTAGATAATAGGAAATATAGAGCAGCGTGTGAAATCGTGCCTTCATTTAAAGTGGTTTTATAGGTAGACTTTAAAATGTAGTCGTTCATAAATGCTATTGACCATGCTGCGTGCATGGTGTGTTATTTTGGCCGTTAAATGTAGGCACACAAAGATTGCTTATAGAAACCATAATTCCGGTGATTAGTATCTGTATGAAAGCAGAGTTTGCATCGCATTTCTTGGTAAACGGCTCCGCGAGGCTTTTTTCTTCTTCTAAAGATGCTGTCTGTGTAATTGGCAGAGAGGGACATCTTGATAATGGAAGTGTGAAGGTGTAACGCGTGTGTTAATTGATACTTCTTAATCACTTTTAGGTATTAAGTCATGATGCAGGAATCTGCGACAGAGACAATAAGCAACAGTTCAATGAATCAAAATGGAATGAGCACTCTAAGCAGCCAATTAGATGCTGGCAGCAGAGATGGAAGATCAAGTGGTGACACGAGCACTGAAGTAAGCACAGTAGAACTGCTGCATCTGCAACAACAGCAGGTAAGTTTGTTTTGCTTCCTGTTTGTTTTTAAACAAATAAAGGGCTCTTTTCGGAGGGGCATCCTTCCGCAGACCCTCGGTGCGTACTGAATGTGAAGTGTCGTGCGAGTGAAGAGCGTGGGGCGTTATTTGTTGTTGTTTTTGTGCACGTTAATGCTGAAATGCCAGGATCCCGTTTTCGTGGCGGCAACGTCTTGCTGACACCGCCGCACACCGCCGCGCTCGCCTGGTGATTAAAATCCCGCGGCGTATTTATAAAAGTTGTGCCGAAGCCTTGCAGTGCATGTTTTCAGAATCTGTTAGTTTACTGTGCGATTCGGTCGCGTAGGACGTGATGCAGAGCTTTCCACCAGAGGGCCACATTACTTGAGACTTCGCTTCGCTTGCAATGAATTGTTCCAAAGTCGGAGCTGGGGTGAAGGGACCAGAGTGACTTCTTACAATAAAGATGCTTTGCTGTCGTAGATGTAAATAAAAAATGCTGGTTAGTTCAGAACCACTGAAACAAAAAAGAGCATGTGCCTGTCTGTGTGTGCGTGAGTGTAATTTGGATGTGTGATTTTGAAAATATGGGAAAAGAGAGAAGCAGCTTTTCTATAGGTATGTTTCCATTCTCACTTTTAAAACATTTTTTTAAGTTTGTCTGTTTGTTTTCTCAATGAGTTAATGGAGAACTGCTTTTATGTTTACAACTGTAAAATTAAACTGTTGTCTGATTGCTGACACCATCTGATTATAAGATGCAATCAATTAATTTTTGTCACTGTAAGATTTCTTTTCCTTTTAAAACCTGTACAAACATAATTCCTTCTACTTTGCCTACCTAAAGAGCTGCCTCTCCATCAGGGGATGCAGATTGTACTAGTGCAGTGAAGCCCAAACAGCTTGTTTGGCAAACAATTGGGGTCTGATTCTGCAGAGTGCCAGTACCTCCTCTGAACTCCTGAAAGTCTTCTGTGTCTGGTCCTCTCATCTGCTGAGGCCACTCAGCACCTCTGGAGTTCAAACCCTTCATTTGTAAATTCTGAGGTTTTTTATTACAGTGTCAGGTATTGCATTAATGGAAGGAAGGTTGTCTACTGTAAGATAAAATATAAAAATCCTGTTTTATAGAAGCATGTTTTAACATGATAGATAAGTTGCATGTGTACGGGCCTTTGAAATAACAGGTCATAATAGCTCTTGAAAATGAATCATTCTTAGCGCTGAATTAAGCAGTGTACACTAGCTACATTTGTAGTTAAATATTTTAAATGGTGACAGAAAATGTGGAAGAATTAAATAGTTGTAGATTTAAATATGAGAAGTTGTTAAGGCTTAAATCTGTGCCTTGCTTCAAATTCAAGTGTATTCTGTTTTAACAATTGAGCACTTACAGTATTACAGTCTGAGGAAATATAGGTTTCAGTGTCTTCATTAAGTTCTTAGCAGGCTTACACATATATAGATATATACACACACTATTATCTATATATGTACACTGTGTATATATACTATTTTCATACATCTATGCACACATACATATATAGAAATTTAATGTTATTTTCATTGAAAAGCATGCCATCACCTTTATTCAGGTGTTCAGATTACAGCATTTTGAAATCTTTATTGAGAGACAGTGTATTTAATTGGTGAAAATGTTTAGAAAACTAAATTTAAGTAAGTGAAACACTTTCAAACACAAAAATACCAACAGAATAATGTGCCACTTACATGTTTCTCAAAGCAGCAGTCCTAGGCATTTGTAGCCAATTTGTCCATGCAGTCACTGATTCCAGTAGATAGCATTTGCAAAGACCACAGAGAATAACAACTGAAGATGAAAATATCCAGTTGAGTACTAATAACAGACAGGTTCTGAGGGGACAGGCTTAGAAGTGACAATCTTTTCTTCAAAACTGTGATTAGATCTTAAATAAGCAGACAGGCAAAGTAAAACCATGGGTACAGTTAATAGGACTCAAGAGGCATTTTATGGTAGGGTCTGCACCATAGGATTTAAATGCAACTTGAGTTAGGCATATAAATCCTTCTATAAAATATGTTGATGTGAAACATAAACACTAGTAAACATGCAGTAGGATGTCCTTTAGATAATGGGCATAGCTTTGTGCTAGTTTTGCTTTTCTTCCTCTTTTTCCTTTTTTTTTTCCCCCTGTTTTTGACCAGATCCCTTTTGAAATATGATTTAAGAGGAAAATGATGGTTGGTTTTATTATTGTCACTGTAGTAACTCACTAAAATGTTATTTTTAATATGTCACTTGCCTAACAAACTTTGACAAGTAGAAAACCAGAGCAAACCCCATTGTACCTGCAGTTATTATTCTTAAGATTTTTTACTGTTTAAATATGTGCAAGATATAGTGTACCGATGTCATATTTTCATGTTCTGGTTTTGGCTTCTCTGAGACATTTTATTGGGGGCCTTCAAATAAACAAATCAAGTTTGTTATAGCTTTTTCTAAAGGAAGCAAGTAAATGATTGCTCCTTTTAATACAGTTCCTTCAGCTGGGCAGCTACGTAAAGCCATGCTAATGTTTAAGAATAGCTATATCAGCTGAGTAAAATCGCAAAATAAGTTTTCACTGTCACATGAATATGTACTGGGGAAAGTTAAACATGAGAAATTTTAGCCTACAAAGAGCAGCTAGGCTAAGTGAAAAATTTTAAGCTATATATGATTTGCATCTTGTTCAAGCACTATGATCATAGATCGGTGTATTTATAGAAAGTAAATAAGCTAAAATAATAGACTTCATTAGCTTCTTATAAGCAATTATATGGAGTTTGGACAGTCCTGTTATTGGCTTGATGAACTATGTTGCTGTGATCTTTATGTAGAAATGAGAAGTTTGACTTAAATCAGGGAGTTATTTCTCATCCATGTATCAAGACAGAATGACAGTATTCTATAATATATTGTAATATATACTTGGTGATAAATGGATTGGGTGCTGTCACAAGTCATCAGGTCGGCTTTGAAGATGTATGACTAGAACGTAAGCAACTTTTTATCTTACTGTCGATATTTATCAATTTATAAATATTGCTAAAGTGAATGTAGATTTTTATTATTAAAATATGATGCAAACTGTAATCTGCTCAGACTTGGTTCTTATGGCTTTTTTTGTCTTACAACGAGACATTCCCTTTCTCTTCTATATGTACATACGTACACTTCTGAGGTTTTCACTTTCATTTTTTTTCCTGTCTGTTAAAATCAGTGTTTGATACTAGAATTTATAATACATGGAAAAAGCATATCCTTGATTAAATACATTGACAGATTATTCTGCATTAGATGTAGAATTTTATTTTGATATTAAGTTTGTAGAATTAATTGTTTGTGTCACTAAGGTCAAAATAGTTGCTAAAAAACCATGATTGCTTTACAGGGTAGATTTGAGCTTGCATTTTGAGTATTCATTAAGTCACTTCTACCAAGATAATCTTTTTAAATGTTTTATGGGAATTTATTGGTCAGAAGCTGTTTCAGTTGACTGTGTTTAAAATTATTTTTCCAAAGTAGTTTTATTTTTTTACATACCACTTACCACTAGCATTTCGTTGATACAAAATATAAATATATACAATAGCAAAAATGGGATGCTAGCATTCAGGTTATCCTAAAGATGTAGAAATAGTCGTTTTGCTTTCATACATGTTTTGTCCTTGTGATTATTTAAAAAGAAGGCGGAAAATAACAGGGGGTTTGTTTTGTTTTGTTTACTATATAAAGTCTTAGATTAAGCATTAACAAAACAGGTTTCTGTATGTCAGACAGTAGTTCTATTTACTAAACCACCAGAAACTTGAAAGAGCAAATTGATTTTCTCATACTGTACAGACACTTGGTATTAAAATGTGACATAAAAATCCACAACTACTACACCTGTGGCAAAAGCTGATGCCATAAAGAATGCTGATGACAAGTAACTTAAACATAAAACTTCTTAGTGCATCTGATTGCACTTATTATTACTTAAATTGACCACACACATGTCATATTTGGAAAAAATACTTCTTCCTAGCAATTTAAAACTAAAGTTAAAATTCTGTAAAATTATGCAGAAGTGTTATAGGCTTTCACATCATAAGGTCAAAAGGGGAAAGATTCTGTTAGGTTCATTCATATGGCTTTCAGAGCAGGTATTACCAAATTAGCGGATGTTGAACTAGTAAGGGAAAGTATATTTTCCAAAGGCAGGCACACACGTGGTCTATCTTTAATTTATTAGGGAATTGAAAATGTTCTAAAATACTAGAAAATTTCACAGAAGTCCTGATTTGCCTCTAGAACTATTTTTGATTGTTAGTCTTTATTTTTCTGACTCCTGCTGTGTGCTTCTCCAAACACAATTTTTTTCCCCCTGCTGAATGATTGGAGAAGGGCTAAATTCAAGCACAGGCAGCCTGCCCGCCTACTGACACTACAGAGGGAGTAAAAAGAATGTATTTCACTTTCCACGTCTGCCATCCCAGTCTTTGATGAATCCCTTACCATCTGATTTTTCAAAAAATTTGAGCACATGGCTGTTTAGTATAACTTCTGGGAGGTGTGTCTCATCGGCACCACGCCTCAGTATTTCCACCTGTGAAATGGGGATGATAATACGTAGCTGGCTTACATTTTTGTTTATGAAAAAATTCATAAGCTGAACTCATGACTATGTGAGCCGGACGATCTCAGTAAATATTATAAAAACCTTGTATCACATCTCAATGTGTTATTTTGATATGAATATAGAATTCCTGAAATAAGGTTTGTAAAAAGGTCTAGCGCCTGTGCAGCTATATAATTTTCTAGGGCTTTCCTTCAAATAGATATGAACGTAAAACACAGTGTTTGTCACGAGAATATATATTAACACCCAAATGCATATATTAGGACACACTACTATATCACAGAAAGATTTTTGGAGAAGCACATTGAAATAAGCCAACGTACATTTTTCCTAAGGATAAAATTAGCTAGATTAAACCTAAATTTTAAGTAG